TTGCGCCATCTCTGGAGGATCCCCTTCAGAGGACATTCTTATGAATGTGATGTGTGGCCTAGGAAAGTTTTATCAAGGCCCCACGGTGGGCGCCAAATGTTCTTGCATAAAAATACTAAACGAGTGACTTTCTTATAGGAATAAGGAGAGCCGCAATAAGGGTAGATTTTAGTATAATTTTGGAGGATTTGGATGCTACGATGATTGTTCATATTGAACCAAGATGAATGTCTTGCTTATCCCTCTAGCGGGAGCCCCTCTTTATAGTCCTCATATTACTCCCCTTAAGAGCTTCATTTAAGAAGTGTCTTTACGCATTCTTTTCGTTTTAGACGTTCGTAACGGCCGCCGCCTGCCATGAATGGGCGTATTCAAGCTATCATAACGTATGCAGTTAATCAGCCGACAACCGTTATGTTTTATGCCTAGGACCGGGTTCCTAGTCGGCTATGTAATGCTAGGTCCTGATCGAGGACACTCAAAAGAGTTGGTACCCGAGCAAAGTCACCACTATCCGACTTCCAGCTAAGTGGAGTTGATACCCGAATAAGGTCTCTATCCAACTTCCCTTTATTTATATAGCCGTTTATACCTTTTTACTCTTGCCTCTAGTGACTTTATAACTCGACTAAAATAAATATTTTTGGGATGTAAAAATTTATTATATTAGTATACTATGAGAAAATACCAAGAAATATTCTTACTATGAATTAAACTTCAAATCATTAATTCTAGCTACTTAAACCGAATAAAACATGGTTCGAACCTCTTTTCTGAACCATCATATGTGTTTGATGCATTTATCATTAGGCAATTTACATTTTCTTTTTCTCGAGTATACAAGAGTTTCACTTCTTTTTTTTTATTATCAAAACACATAGGTTTCGCTTTTGTTTCAATAGAAATATTCTAAAGAAAATTCAAATTAAAATCTTGTAGAAAAGTTACCTAAAAAAAGTTACTTGATGAAAATAAAATAAAATAAAAAATAAAATTAAAATATATAAAAAAGTAATAAATATATAATATTACTATAAAATGATTTTATACACACATTTAATTAAAACCCATGATATTAACCTAACATGTCATTTTCTTTAATATAAAAATGAGTAAAGCTTAACAATATTAAACAATATAAAGCATAATTATGATTTATATAAGTTAAAACTAGTGAATTTTTTGTCATTTAAAATCTTATTAAATTATAGATAATTAATTATTAGAAGTGGCAAATGATTTGGTTTGTCGAATATGTTCATTTTATACGCATATTTTTATAGGACGGATTAATATTTTAGATATATATTATCTACTATTTTTTTCTTTTTTTTTGAAACGAATCAAAATTTTAAATTCATACACTTCATTATATTCATTACACCATACTAAATTTTATTGTAGTTTGTGGAACAGTCATATCACTCACCTTTAATAATTGTTTCAGAAAAATTATCTACTTAAAAATAAAATGTAAGTAATATTCAAAATATCAAAGAATTTAATAAATACAAAATGTTAAATTAGAGTAAATAATTTAATACACTCATTCAAAACCTCATGGTATTGAATATCGGTCATACGAATAATCCATGTCATTTTCTTTAGTATAAAAATGAGTAAAGTTTAATAATATATTTTTTTTAAATGTATAATTATAATTTATAAAAGTTAAATATAATGCTTTTTTTTTTTGCATTGGATTATAGTATAGCTATAATTTGTGAGGGTGAAAAATTATAGTTATTCTTTAATCCAATGATAACAAATTTTCGATATTTAACTTACATGAAAGACATAGTTATGAATATATAAAAGTTATTTGGGTCAAAACTGTCTAGAAATCCTATATTCCGCTAAAACATTTATTTCTTGGAGACTTGTGCATAACGTCATTGTCACATATACTAATTTTAGCAATAAAAAATAACATTGGTTTCTAAATGTTTCCTATGTATTCAAGACTCGGAAACTCCTCAGCATGTACCTCATCTTGAATTCCAGCCACATATTGCAATTCGAGATATGATTGGAAGCCTTGTTATACATGAAACTTGATCAAAATACCTTTGGAATCCGTAACTCTAAAATATTATTATTGCAATCATAGTCAGAATCATCTGGAAAACTTGGCACGCAAGGAATCAATTTATATTCAATAGTGCTCGTATAAACTTTGACAGAGAACTTATATACATAACAAATTGTTTAACATCGCGACTACTTCTCGCGAAGGACATATGTACTCATTAATGCATGAACTCAATATTCCAAAACACTTTGATATCAAATGGTGACCTCCTTGCACCCTGCGTAAAGCAAGCCAACTAGAAATATCCACAACTTCATTAGGTTAACTCCACACATATGGGTGTCTCGAGAGAATCTCTAACTTGCGTCTTGTGGAGGAGTTTTCCATGATTTCTTTGACACATACTTAGGTGTATTCTAAGCTAATATGGGTATCTCAACCTCTTTTCAACATGTATCATTTTAGCTATAAAACATGCTTCTAAAAGAGAATGGAATCAACTTTGGCTTGAAAGTGATTCTCTACTTGTCATATGAGCATTCATTAATACTACCAATGTTCATTGGGAGCTTTAACCAAATGGAAAAATTGTCTTCATATCATTAGGTCATTCTGTTTCAAAGTGTTTCACATTTACAATAAAGACAATAATGGTGTTGATCGTATAACAAATGCTGATTTTTATATTCAATGTGAAATTTGGTGGAACTTATTTCCACTTTGTGCGAAAGAATGTTTCATTAGAGATATACCTAGTTTAGCTAATTTTTTGCTTTTGCTAATTTCTCGTTCATAGGTTAAGTTCTTGTCTCGTATTTTTCTTTGTACTTTTCTTTTATTTATGTAATATCTATTTCATTAAAAAATTTATTATTATGTTCAATTCTAAAGTTATGTACCATTAGTATCACTAATATTCAATATCAAAGGAACACTTGCTTGGTCATAAGCTTAAATGAAATGCATTTAGACACATAAATACAAGAGAAAGTTAGGAAAGAGAAAATAATTAAATATTGTGTTTTTTAAATAGCGAAATAATATATTTTTTATGAGTGTATGACCCTCGAGCATGCTCGCGGGTTAGGTTCACACAAACCACGTTAAATGGTTTATAAAGAATATTTTTATTCATGTAGAGAAAAGTGAACAGAGATCTGACAGTGAATTCTAATATAATCTTCTTCTTTAGTCTGATGGTGGGGTAGCCTACAAACACTCTAATGCTTAAGTTAGTAACGCTCATAAGTTTGAGACTTTTAGGTTAGAATTGTGTGTAGATGATATTGATTTAATACCTTCATTTTATAGGAAGGTCCTAAGTTTTTTTTTTAGAAACTTAGAATCTTTTATTTGATACGGTAATCTCCAAGGACATGTGTTAAAGGATTTTTGAAAGTATGACCTAATGATCCTTTAGGTCATGTCAGCTCTGATCAGACGTACTTCTAGAAAAAGTCCATCTCAAGACCATAGAGAAATATAATCCTATTCATCCTTTTATGTTAATGTGTCTATCTTGCTTCCTTATTCAATGATGTTTGGTCATCCTCAATACAATAATATGTTAGGGTATGGACAATCGTCAATATGTGTGTAATTTGGGAGTTAGCTCCTTTATTGAATCTGATCATTAATATGTTTTATCCAATTTGTCTTCACTTTAGCCTTTCACTATTTACCATCTTGCTCTTATCTTCTTTGCATCAATTATTCCTCTATTTTATTATTAATAATAATTCTAACTAATTTTAAATAATTATTAACTAATTATATAAACTACTAGAATACTCCTTACTCATCTAAATTTTCATTACCCATAACATATAAACACATCACACATCATACTCAACAAAACATCATATATTCATCAATAATTCATAAATAATCATATTTAATTAATTAAGTAAGTAATTACAAGTTTTAGGGTGTTACCGATTCATTCCAATAACCAGTCCTTTCCCCCTTTAAGGAAAATGTGGCAATATATTGAAACATTTACCTCATTTCTTGGAGAAGTGTTTTTTTCTCCATGATTCAATCAAGACACCCTAAAAACCCTAAATCTTTATTTTTCTTTTTTATTTGATTTATTTTTTGTTTTCATATTTACGAAAAAAATCTGAAATTTTTTTAGACACTTAATTTGATTTTATTTGATTTTTAGTTGTACTTTTAGATTTTTTATAATTTTATTTTAATCCTTTTTCTATTTTCCAATTGTTTTTCTTAATAGGAAAATTGTTGATATTTACATATTTGTTGCATTGTTGATGCATGATTAGTAGGTGTGCTCCGTATACATCAAATATTAAGTTTTAAAAAAAATACAATAGTAAACTTTTTAGATAAGCACATATGAATTCATTATTTTTTCGTAAAAAAATAAGATTTATTGAGATATGCATATTCAAAAATACTTTTTCGTAAGAAATAAAAATGTTTAAATATATAATTCTGAAATATTTATGAAAAATAAATGTGTTCGAAGATATATCTCTAAAAATAAAAAATATTTTAGAAATTTGGCTAATGATCTAGGGAAATGTATAAGACTACAATGAAAAATTGAAAAAAAAAATCAATTAAAAATTAAGAGTGAAATTTAAGAAACCCACATGTGTAGTGTACTAATGCATCGCAGCAGTTTTTTTCTTTGACAAATACACTTGCAAGATTATGAAATATGACCGCACCGTCACCAATTCACCATGACCATCATGTGTTAGAGAATTCACACTCAAAAGCAACACCAATAACTTGTATTTGAATAGCGTTATTTCTAAAATACTCTCCTACACTTTTTTTTTCTTTTCCATTTCCATAGACTTTGCCTAGTACACCGAATTTTCCCCATTCTATTTGCACCTCTTAATGACAAATTGAAATTCTCCAAATTAAGCTTCTCTCTCTGAAACGCGCTTTCAGATCTATCAACAGATCCATTTTCTCGACGCTCCCCGAGAAAATGGAACGCTTCATTGACAACTTGCCGCCGATGGATCTGATGCGATCGGAGAAGATGACGTTTGTTCAACTCATCATCCCGGCCGAGTCTGCTCAGCGTGCCGTTTCGTATTTAGGCGAACTCGGTCTTCTTCAATTCAGAGACGTGAGTTCTCTTCCAGATCCGAATCGCTTGTTCCTGATTCCGAGTTTTTTCTTCTTTCTTTCGTGTTTTTGAGGTTTTCGTTGAGTTCATTATGCAGGTTTAACGGTTGCGGTTTTGCATGGATTACTGTATAATCTGTATCAGTTATTTTTTTATTATTTGAATTGAGTGCGAGACTTGAGAAATGATGAAACTGTAGTACTGCATGAATAGATGGTTCAATGCTGAATGCAAATTGGTAGGATTCAAGTGTGATTGATTTGGATCTTTCTTCCTGAACAGTTTGTGCTAACTGATCCAAAGTTCAAGCATAGTTTTGTTAAAAAAATGTTGAATCTGTTGCATAATTGCACTATGAGTTGTGGAGCACTATTTATTGAGTATTTAGTTATTAATTAGTTTATTAGTTCATCGAGTGAAGATGAAGGTGGTTAATATAGTAATCCTTTCTCATTTGTTCAAGAGATCAATACTGTGATTTTTCGGTTCCGACTTGCAGTCAACTTCTAGATCAATGCTCTCTGATGAAACTTGTTTGATTGGTTTGTTTTTGAAGTTAGACTGTATTAATGTGTAATTGTGTATTCAAATACGGTTGATAACAGTTACTTCCAATTGTAGTTTAGGACATACTGTAGTGGTTTTTGCTTATGCTGACTATTTCCATCCGGCATGTGGTATCATGTTAGAAGACTATTTTGTAATCCGGATTGTTATTTATTGTTACTCTACCGTTAGCTTTGGATTTAGAATATTATAAAAGGACAATACTCATCAGGTGGAGAGACATCTACATGTGAGAATTGATATACCTCTTGGAAGTGGTAGTTTTTGAACCGGATCCTTACTGACCTCATCTGGATATGTTTGACTTACTAATAAATAATATGTTAGACTTACTAATAAATAATATGTTAGTTGTCTGATTATGGTCTATTCTGTCGCACAATTGTGCTTGGAGATACTTTAACACGTTATTGTTTTTTGACTTTCAGTGTTGTATCTTTGTAATATTATATTATACACAATGCTATCCAACTGTAATTATTTGTGGAAGGTAATTTGGGTGGCAGTTTTGCAGGTGCATTATGAAATATTCAAATTTTGTTTAAATTATTGAGTATTTTGTTTCCCCATACATGTAGGAGAATATTGGCCTTCTAAAGTTTATATTGGATGTTTCTGGTATATTAGTTTTCTATGTTATTTCATCACTGCAATCCTTATGAGCACTTTTTTTTGTCTGCAGTTAAATGCTGACAAAAGTCCTTTCCAGAGAACATTCGTTAATCAGGTACTCTTTGTTGCACTAGTGAGAAATCATGTTACATTCTGAATTCACAACTGTATTATTTGGATGGGTTGATTTTGGAAAGATAGAAATAGAGAGAAGAGAGACCGGAGAGAAATATTCAATCTCTCTTGTCTGGACACTGTATGGAAAAGGGTGAAAGAAGAGTGTGTATTTACCACATAACTCTCTTTAATCAATCACCATAGTGTTTTAGTCGATTACCATATGTGTGTGTCCATTATGAAATGCTTCTTATTGATTAGTTATGTCAACTTATCAAACTCGCTTAAGGGTTAAAACCTGTTTATGTATATTCTTTCTATTCTTCTCTACTTACTCTCTTACTCATCCCAACAATTGGAGAAAATTTTCCTCATTAATTTCTCTCTCATTTCTACGAACGAAACCAACCATACATATTTTTCACTTAACTCCACTTTATTTTCTCTTCTCTCCAATTTCTTTCCTCCCTATTTCTCTAGCTAGCCATACAATGTGTAAGTTTTTACACTTTTTTGAAAAGGAACCTCATTTGTTTAATTTGTGGATATTTATTTGTCTTAACTTGGGGTTTGAGACCCCTCTATATGGACAGTGCTTATGACACCATTTCCTTGTTTGCTAGCATTTACAACTTCATTTACTCAGTGTAAAGAAACTTATACAGGAAAGAAGTTGGAATTAGGTTGTAGTTATCCTACATTACGCTGAAGAAGGTTCAATTTTGGGCAAGTGTTTTCTTTTTTCTTAGGGTTAACCACTCCGGTGCGGCAGACTTGATTAAAGGCAAAAAAAAAAATGTTTGGTGCTCCAGTATATTAGCAACTATGAACTAATTGCACCATTTTTAATGATATCAATCATAAAGTACCCTTCAATTAATTTGCATTTTATTTTCTAGAACCACCCATGGAGCAAATTCCCATGAGGGAAGTTTGGAAGATGCAATTACTTTTATGATTATTATATTAATAAATTAAAGAGATTAACTAATCTTCTTAATTAGTGACTTAGCACGAGTTTGATTTTTTTTCTTAATATTTGAGACCAAAGTGTGTATATTTTCTAGAATTTGCGTCCATTGAGCTTGTTGCTTTTAGTTTTTTTTAGACTGGTGGACACACTGTTATGGTTTAACCTCAGAAGTCATGATTGTGATAATGGTTTCTTTCTTTTTTATTTATTTTTATTTCTTATAACTGATATTAACTGCATTTCATTTTGGCAGGTAAAGCGATGTGCAGAAATGTCAAGAAAGCTACGTTTTTTTAAGGATCAAATCAATAAAGCTGGTCTAATATCGCCTTCTCGTACTCTATTGCAACCGGACATAGACTTGGAGGATTTAGAGGTCTCTTTCTGTTTTTTCTCTCCATCAAATATGGTTGTTGTCTAAGGGTTAATATTCAACGTACATGTTGTCTTGCTGTTAACAAGTACATGATGCCATAACTTAAGTTGGCACTCATTACTCAGCAGTTTTTTCAGTTTGCTTAAGGGTTCTGATTATAAATGTTCTGTTGGGTTTGTCTTTTATCAGGCACATCTTGCTGAGCATGAACATGAGCTAATTGAAATGAACTCTAATAGTGACAAGCTTCGGCAATCATATAACGAACTTCTGGAATTCAAGATTGTTTTACAGAAGGTATTTATTTCCTTCACAATCTATTTGTTCCCTTTGATTTCGGTAAATAGTAGGTACATATTTTTTCCTGTTTTGAGTTCATTTAACAATTAATGGTCTTTCTGACGATGGTTTGGCATTAGTTATTGATTTTCTTTATAAATATTCTTATACATGTTTAGTTTATAAAATTTATTATTTCACATAAAAACTAATATGGTATTTTTCTGAATTCATGAATGCAGTCCCGCTATTTTATTTCATGAATACAATGTATCGTCTATGCTTCCTGCTTCTCATGTGGTATAATATTGTTGCTAAATTTCAGGCATGCAGCTTTCTTATTTCTAGTCATGGTCGTGCTATTTCAGACGAGGTAGAACTACAAGATAATATATACTCAAATGATGACTATGTTGAATCATCATCTTTGCTTGATCAGGTTCCTTGTATATCCCATCCTTGATATATTTTTCTTTAGTGTGAGAAATGGAATACTGTATTCTAAATTTATTTTGTCCATGAAGTGCACTATGCTAAATTGTTTATTTTACAGGAAATGAGACCCGAACCATCAAATACGTCTGGTTTAAGGTTTATCAGTGGGATAATTTGTAAATCCAAGGCTCTTAGGTTTGAAAGGATGTTATTTCGTGCTACAAGAGGCAATATGCTTTTCAATCATGCACCAGCTGGTGAACAAATCATGGATCCTGTTACAACTGAGATGGTTTTCTTCTTTCTTACAACTTTATGAAGATTGATAGTTTGGCTCTTTTCCCTCCTTTCAATCTGTATTTATCATTTTGTCCTATTGCATTCACAGCTGGTGTATATTCCCACGCTGTACTCTGTCTACACAGTGATTCAGACTCCTGTAATTCAGACTCCTGTAATTTTCTTTTCAGATTGAGAAAACAGTATTCGTTGTGTTTTTCTCTGGGGAACAGGCAAGAACAAAAATTCTGAAAATTTGCGAGGCATTTGGTGCAAATTGTTATCCTGTGCCTGAAGATATAAGCAAACATGGGCAAATAACTAGGGAGGTAAGTGAGCTCAACTTTGGAAGATATTATTATTAACCTCTTCAAGTGTATTATTACAACATAGGGGCAAAGTATGCTCTAGATAAAGTTTGGATTTTTGTAGCTAAAGTTTCAGTAAGGGAATATTTTTGTAGTAGTATTTAAGCCTAAATACTAGGGAACTTTACATACCTTATCAAAGTATTCAGCTTTTGCACTCCACTAGGTTATGTTTAGACGCTCTTTAATTTATTAGTATGAAGTGTCACAATTTTTATGGAATCCTTCATAGAAATACCATTCACAATTATTAAGTAGTATGCATGGGGAACATCAGTTTTTCCTTGAATTGAAAGCTACTGTACCTGGTGCCTTTTCTTTTATGCCCTTGATGTTGATTTATATATTTTATCTTTGGTAATTACAAATTTGCAAAGTGCCGTGTGGCTTATGGTTGAAAACTTCATATTTGGGTACAGGTTACATCACGCCTTACTGATTTAGAGGCAACTTTGGATGCTGGGATTAGGCACCGGAACAAAGCACTAGCTTCTATAGCAGACCATCTAGCAAAATGGATGGACCTGGTAAGAGTTTGCTTTTGTACGTCTTAATATCTGGGATAGTTTTGATCTTTATATTTTAAATGCAAATTTATCCTAATATTTGATCAACGTTTGCAATAGTGTCTATCTTGAATCAATAGCTTTCGTCCTTGTCGCCTTGTCCTAGGTAAGAAGAGAGAAGGCTGTGTATGATACACTGAACATGTTAAATTTTGATGTCACAAAAAAATGTCTTGTTGGAGAGGGATGGTGCCCTATGATTGCAAAAACACAGGTATGTTTTATTTCCTAAATTTTTTGAGGAATTGAAAACGTCATTGGTATATATGTATTTTTTTTAAAAATTACTTGCATTAATTGATTTTCCAGATGCAAGAGGCACTGCAACGTGCAACTTTTGATAGCAATTCTCAAGTTGGCATAATTTTCCATCAAATGGATGCAGTGGAATCACCACCTACATATTTTAAGACCAACAGTTTCACAAACCCTTATCAGGAAATTGTTGATGCATATGGGTGAGCTTAATTCTATTGACTGTATTTAGTAGCAGTAGCATGAATATTTAAATGTCATGAAATTAGTTTTTGGAGTGTTTTTAAGTGCATCTGTCTCTTGAAGTTAGAACATTGGGCGGCAATGTGCCATACCTCTGCACGAATAGATTGATGGGTGTCTGACTAGTACTGGTGTACGTAGAATTTGATAAGTTGAGTTTATGTTGGCATTTGTAAGTGGCACACACAACTTTCTGATTAGTGTATATTTTACATCTATTAACTTGTAGACCTTATTTTCGGAATAAAATAAATTTCTCAATGAGCGAAACTAAATTTTTTAAGTTCATGAAGAAATATTTTTGAATAAATGAAGGAGAATAACAAACTTTGTATACTGGGGATGGAGCGGTAAAATTTTTAATTTTTAAAGTGAACAGTACTTCACATGGTTATCCATAAACTTGGATGAATGAGCCTTTCTAAACAGAAAAAAATTGGAGAGTTGTCTCTTTCCCACTCCTTCCATTTCTATTTGTAAACTTGTTTGTTGATCGGAATGTATGTCCAAGAGGCTGTAAAATTTCTGTAGCAGTTAATCCATATGATATTACTAAAATATGACATGTTTGAGATTTGTCTTTCTGGATTAAGTTGAGGGCTTATTGTTGCGGATACAAATTATCTAGCTCACTAGTTATTAGGTTCCAGGTTTATATTGCATCTCTAACTAGCCCTTTCTTGGCAGTGTTGCAAGATACCAAGAAGCAAATCCCGCAGTTTACACAACTGTTGTATTCCCCTTCCTATTCGCAATGATGTTTGGGGACTGGGGTCATGGAATTTGCCTGTTGCTGGGAGCATTAATTCTTATATCACGTGAAAACAAGCTCAGTACACAGGTAAAAAATCATCCTGTGTTATAAATAAAGTGACAATAGAAAGACCTGCCAAAATATGTAGGGGTCATGTGACATATGTTATGCTGTACGGATCATATGATAAATGTTATGCTCAATCCTGGATTAATAAAAAAGTTATTCAAGATTTGTCAACTTAGCTCTTTATTGTTAGAGACTTAAATATTCTTTACTTTTGTTCTGTTCTTGGCATTCCAACTAATATCTAATAGTTCTACTTGGTTTCTTTCAGAAGCTTGGAAGCTTCATGGAGATGCTATTTGGTGGGCGCTATGTGATTCTCTTGATGTCACTATTTTCAATCTATTGTGGGTTAATCTACAATGAGTTCTTTTCTGTTCCTTTTCACATATTTGGTCCATCAGCATTTCATTGCCGGGATACTTCATGCAGGTGTGTTCTATTTGTCTCTTGGAGCCTCTAACTTTGGTGCCACTAATTTTTATTTTGTTTTATTGTCTAGATGTATGATGTCTTTCTTGGTGATGTAGTGTGTTTCTCTTAAGCATTTTAAATTTCATAGTTTCCCTTGAGCATTTTAAATTTCATAGTTTCCCTTGAGCATTTTAAATTTCATAGTTTCCTTGTACCCCTAATTCAATATTTTTCACATGTTGGTCCAAATTTTTATTCTTTTTATTAAGGTTAGATTTGACGCTCTTCTGCCCCTTATTCGGTGTGAACTTGACCTCTGTATCTCTACTTGACACTTTGCATTTCAACCAACAGTGGGGTTGGGGCAACAGATTAATTAATTTGCCAAAATGCCATCTAGAGTATAAAACTTGTGGTTAATGACCAAAGAAGCTAGTTTTTTTTTTTTGTTAAAAAAAGAAGCTAGTTTTCAAAAGACAAATATTAATTCAAATAATTTTACTTTTTAGATTAAGCTATAAACCACCACAATGAGATGGATGTATAGTTAGTAGAAACCATCAATTGAAGTTGGTGTTAGTTCTGGGAGAGTTTTCTTAATTTCTACGTATTATGATTGTTTTATAGAGAGCGTATTATGATTGTTTTATAGAGAGCGAATTCCCCTCACGTACCTGTTACTGAATTCTATTTTCCTTAGTCCCTCGCCAAGGACTAATGATTCACATTTCACTCAGTAATTTAACTTCATATTTATGTCATTGGGAATTATTTTGCCATGTTCTCTTTTATGATTGCACTATTTTTTTTAGCTTTATGTATTATTTCTTTTCTTCGTCGAATTGTCTCGATTTTGTCTGTTTGTATTGGTCAAGAATGCAGTTAAGTTCCTTTTGTTTCTAAAGCAGCATGCTTTTAACTTTGGTGCCTTTTGATTTTTCATGATTCTCCACCTTTTATTAGGGATGCCCATACCATTGGCTTAGTCAAATACCGTGATCCATACCCATTTGGTGTGGATCCTAGCTGGCGTGGAAGTCGTACAGAATTATCTTTTCTGAACTCTATGAAGATGAAGATGTCCATTCTGTTTGGTGTGGCACATATGAACTTGGGAATTATATTAAGTTATTTCAATGCTCGTTTCTTTGGAAGTTCATTGGATATAAGGTATGTCTCTCTTCTGCATGACCCGTGTAATTGTTTGTGTTATCTTCTCAGTAGAATGTTTTAACTTACTCTAATGTTGCTCTCAGGTACCAATTTGTGCCACAGATGATTTTCCTTAACAGTCTCTTTGGATATCTTTCCCTTCTCATTATTGTTAAGTGGTGTACTGGCTCTCAAGCAGACCTTTATCATGTGATGATATATATGTTTTTAAGCCCTACAGACGAACTTGGTGAAAATCAGTTGTTTTGGGGCCAAAGACCACTTCAAGTATGTGTTTGGTTCTTTTCTTCACTTTTGCTTCAAATTTGCGGTTCTGTCTGCTGGCTTTTCATCTGTCTGAATTACTTCTCTTGATTTGCAGATTGTGTTATTGCTTTTGGCTGTAATTGCAGTTCCATGGATGCTCTTTCCGAAACCTTTTATACTAAAAAAGCTTCATACTGAGGTGCCACTTTTACTTGCCTTATGTATGATTTTCTTGCTAGGAAGTTTATGATTTCATTGTATGTGCACATATGCTTGTTGTTTGAGTTTTCCCTTTTTGACCGTGAGTTTCTGCAGGAGTTGATTAACGTCAATTCTCTTTGAGAACCATTGCAAAATCTATTTTCTTTCAAATGAATATGCATAAGTGCAAAGTTACTTATAATTCCTGTTGGCAAATGCAGACAGATTTTCAGGCTATAGTTGCTTTGTTCAATACTTTTGTTGCATCTTGTAATTAAAAATATGATACAAAGGAGCCTACCAAAATTATTAATTTTTTTATCTTTCTGACATTGTTCAGCGATTTCAAGGCCGTAGTTATGGTATTTTGAATAGTTCTGAAATGGATCTTGAAGTGGAGCCAGATTCTGCCAGGGAACATCATCATGAAGAGTTCAATTTCAGTGAGGTTTTTGTTCACCAAATGATTCATTCCATCGAGTTTGTTTTAGGTTCAGTTTCTAATACGGCGTCATATCTTCGACTGTGGGCATTAAGGTTTGCTCAGCCACCATCTCCTGTATCTTCATGAATCTCTTGTTTACGTGCTGTTGCTCGATGGTTAATTTTTCTTAACATTTGCAGTTTGGCTCATTCAGAACTTTCTACAGTTTTCTATGAGAAAGTGTTGCTTCTTGCTTGGGGGTGAGTTTGATTTATAACCCATCTTTTATACTAGTACTTCAATTCAAATCATTTAATCCTTCCATGGCTTCCCTTGATAGACAAAACGAAATAGCTAATTTATATGAGGTGACCGTAGATCGGTACCTTACCAAGACAATAGCTGTTCTCCAAATGTTACGGATGTTTTTTATTTTACTTTTTAGAGGGAGTGTGGGTGTTCTTAGAGAGATTGTTAGAGTAGCACCTATAGAAGTAAAGATGCTGGAAAATAGACTTAGGTGGTTTGAGCATGTAGAGAGAAGACTAGTAGATTCTGTGGTAAAGAGAGTAGATTAGATGAGAGCTATGTAGAATTGACACCTCTGAAGAAATGTGTGTCCGTGTCTGAAACCGACACCGGCACTTGTGATTTCGTTTAATTTATTCGTTTTTCAAATTGGTATTGTGTTTTCGGTGTTTGTGCTTCATAGGATGACTAGAGGTGTAGAAGAAGATCTAGAAAAACTATAATAGAAAAGTTATAAGAGAAGTTATTAAGAACGATCTCAAGATTAATGATCATGGCGAAAGTTGATCCAGCCGACTCCCCTTGAGGGGGATAAAGCTTGATTGATGTTGTTATTGTATTCTTACATCTCTGAAGTTTGTACTTCTTTTTGAAATTAAGGCAGATATGCATAGAGAAACACTTAACTAGACTAGAGTATAACTTTCAAAGCATTAGGACTTATCCATCTTTCATTTCTGTATTCCTTTGTACCATTTATACACTTCTATTTTATTCATTAATTATTAATGTCATTTCTGGTTGCAATTAAAACAGGTATGACAATCTCATCATTCGTTTAGTAGGGCTAACAGTTTTTGCCTTTGCAACTGCCTTTATACTACTTATGATGGAGAGTCTCAGTGCTTTTCTTCACGCCCTGCGGCTTCACTGGGTAGAATTTCAAAATAAATTCTACCATGGTGATGGCTACAAGTTCAAGCCTTTTTCATTTGCTTCTTTAACAGAGGATGATGATTGATCCATCGAATCTAACTTGCATTTTCGGAAAATACTATGGAAAGAATATTTGCACAAATGAATTGAGCACAAGAAAATGAGAGTTTGTAGAAACCTAATTTAATGGTTATAGTTGTTAGGTCTGCCTGATGATATACTATATAGTGCTTGGTATGGACCTAACAACAACAAAAAAAAATCCTTGCATATTTTTCTGTGGCTTCAACTGTATAACAGATCACACTACCAATGGTCATGGAAGACATCTGCATCTGTAACAGAATATCTACTATGTAGTTTTTTTTATTATCAAAGTTTAGAATAGGAAACAGGAAAAGAGATAAGGAAAGGGACTTTCTGACTAATTTTTTGTAATTAGGAGCTGGGATTCATCATCATATAGTGTAGCTATTGGATTCTTGGGTTTACATACATACATGTTGTGTAGCGCAGGTTTTGCTGAGAAACAACCCATTTCTCTGAAATTTTCTTGTATTCATAAATAATAAGTTGAGAGTCCCATTGTTTTTGTACGGATTTATCAGAGTAAAATATAGAAATCTGAAGTTGAATAACGCCATGCTGTCTGGAACTTGTTATTTGTCTGTTGTTAAAACTTATTTTGTTTAGTTCACCAACAAAAATGATTGTTTATAATATCTGAAAAACATTGAAGCTAATTAATTTCAGGCAATTTCATTTTTTTTTTAAATATTTAGTTATTTTAAAGCTAATTAATTTTTGAATTAATTTTGTCTACTTAGTAAAACTTAAGGATACCAAAAAAGTATCCCTATAATTTTTGTTGTTAAATTATTTCTATATATTTATATTTTTTTGCAAAATTTACAAATATATATTTTATCTGAATTTTGCCATCCATTTTTTTCAAAGTTGTTAATTTATTTATATAATATTTTTTTTCTTCTGAAACATAGTTATTTATGTTTTTTTTTTTAATATTTGGTTATTGTTAAAAAAAATTTTCTTTAATAACATGTTGATATATATTGTAATACTAATGATTGTGAATACCAAACTTTAGATAAATTGAATATTTCTAGGCGTTGGATTTTGTAGTTGATATTTATTTGTATTTTTTAAATATACATGAAATTTATATTTAATTGAAGTTATTTGTACTAAAAAATAGTTTTCAAATTGTGAGAAAATTTATAGAGTTGATAAAATCATTAAGAAACTTTTTATTGACAATTTGGAAGTTTTTCAGTAAAGTGCTGATGAATTATTAAATTTAACATTTTAAGGTTTAGTTTTTAAATTGTATAATTGTGTAAATAGCTTTAAAATAAATAATTGTCTCAATATTTATTTATTTACTTTAGGAGTAATTAGTTGAACTTAGAATAACTTTTGAAAGTTATTTTATTAAATAATTCACATAAACATTTAATTTTTTCTATCTTTATTTTTTTAAAATCTAAAAACATTTTTTTTTACCAAAATCTAACCACCGAATATCTTCATGTTAAATGCTGTAATTGATTAAGACTATGTTTCAAATAAATTATATATTCATAGACCTGTAATATAATAGTTAGGTGTTTACATACTATGTGTCAAAAGTGGGTGTCAATATAGTTTTTCTCATATTTTAAAGAGTTATAAAAGTACTACTTAGGGCTGTCTCAACTCTTGATGTTCGTAATTGTTTTCTTTTTAAGTTCAATTTAATTTTTTATTTATTAAAAATGAAATAAACTATAAAATCTCTTTAAAAAATAATAATTATAAAGTAAGGAATGAGTAATGTCTGTAAAAAAGAATTAATAGGATTACAAAGGATAAATTTTGGACAGTTCAAAATAATAATTTATGATTAAAAATCTTGTTTTTAGGGAAGATATTCCTATTGGTATGTATTTAGTAGGAATTAGACCTACAACTTCGCCAATTATGAATTGGGCGCTTTAACCATTCGGTCATGGATGCTTTGAGGGAACAATCTTCAAACTTCATGAATAATCAAATTTTAATTGAAGTGAATTTTTTTGGATAAATCAATAGAAAGATATACATAAAGAGGTAACTTAATAGAAAGACATACATAAAGAGATAAATTTACCAATTGAAATTGAAATCAATATAAAAAGGAAATAGAGAATTTTTAATTTTTTTTTAAGGAGTATCTTACGAAGAACAATAAATTACACTTTTGGATTTTTCAATTGAGAGAAATTTTCAGAGAGAGCGAGAATTGTGCCTATTTCTTGGATTCCTGGACGCAATTCAATTCAGGGATATTTGTCATTCACATTTTTTCCATCAAGAGAATTTGATCAAAATCTTAGATTTCCGAAACTCACAAAGAAAAAAGGAAGTGAGTTAGACAAAAAGGGAAGAAGCTTGGACAAAAAGAAACAAAGTGACTTAGAAAAATCTTTTTTGTCGATAACCTCAGATCAATCAATCGAATATGCATTCATATTTAATCGATCAGACACTACTTTAAAACGACTATTCTTCTCAGAAATGAAATGGTCCAAATGTTCCTAGAAATTCGTGCTCCCCTTGGACCATTTGTATTTATATGCATTTGGATCCTTATTCACAAATCTCTCGGTTCGATAACTAAAAATAAGACAATCAAAGCATTTCTTCGGACTCTTTTTCAAATTTGAGAAACATTGATTGATCGTGTGTTTCCTTATAGGTCTATGATTCAGAATATCATTTTGACACCTTTGAAGTACATATTCCAAGCTGCGATTGAATCGATTGCCTTGAAAATAATTTCCACAAGAGGTATGGTCCCATTTTTTTTATGATCTTTGGATAAAAATATTCATTCGCTTCGTAAAAAATCCGCGGCAGAACCAATAAAGATTTTTTTTTTATATTCTAGTTCAGAAAACCCAATAGAAAAAGATAATCCATTACGATAGACCAGATCCGGCTTAGTTAGTGATAGATTAAATAAATTTACCATTTCTTGAAATCTCTCTTCTGATTGAAAATCGCGATGTAACAAGTACCCCTTATTCTGGTCATAGAATAAATGAAATAAACCAAAAACTTTATTTTTGATCAAGAATGAATTATTATTTTGAACTGTCAAAAGTTTATCCTTTATAATCCTATCACATCCTCTATCGGATGAAATAGGATGAATTGAGACATTATTTTGTAAATACATGATTATCTTAACTATATTGGCTATTTCTTTCTTTTCCAATTTCCTCCATAGAACAAAAGAAACATCATCTTCTTTCTTTAATAATTTAAGATCTTGAGCGGACTTTTCAGTAGGATTCAAATCCAGATGAAGTTCTGACCATCTGTCTGAGAAAAAAGAGCGATCAAAGATCTTTTTTTCATTTGGACCAGACATGAGCGGAACAATTAACCTATTGATATTGAACAAACTTTTGAGTCTTCCAATCTATCATTGCCGGATCCAATGGAATTTATTTGTATAGGAAGAAGCCCTGTCAAATAAATATTTTTTTCCGACCATCCTTCGATTGTTAATACGATATAGAAGGATCGATACTGCAAAAGTACTATATTCTTGATTTTGAAATATCGATTTCTTGTTAAACCATGTGAATGGCGTGAAACTAGGATACTCCGAATTCTTAAGTCTAAGACTTTTTATCAAACTCTCTTGATGGAAAAAATGTTACTATCTTCAACTCTATGTATTCCTCTATCCGTAGAGTACATTGAATGTAAAAAAATGGCTATAACGGAGTTTCTAATATTAATATTAACTTCTACTATAGGAGTAATGTTTTTATGCACCACTAAAAATTTAATAACTATCTCTGCAGCTCTAGAATGTTTCAGTTTATGCTCCTATCTACTATATGGATATACCAAGAAAGATGTACGGTCTAATGAGGCTACTATGAAATATTTACTCATGGATGGGGCAAGCTCTTCTATTCTGGTTCATGGTTTCTCTTGGCTATATGATTCATCCGGGGGAGAGATAGAGCTTCAAGAAATAGTGAATGGTCTTATCAATACACAAATGTATAAATCTCCAGGAATTTTAATTGCGCTTATATGCATCACTGTAGGAATTGGGTTCGACCTTTCCCCAACCCCTTATCATCAATGGACTCCTGATGTATATGAAGAAGTGTGATTCATTCAAGAAATTCTGACCGACCTCTCTATCTATTTCTGAGATGTTTGGATTTTTCAAAACTCTATGGACATGCAGAAGAGATATGTTATTCCCACTCAGACCAAGACATAACTTTACTTGTTAAAATAACAATTAAGGTGAAGCAGAGTCAAGAACAACGAATCCCCTTTATGATACACATGATAAATAAATTCTTTTTGCAAGTAAGTTATTAGGGGTAGTTCCTACAAAGGATCATACTAATAACGTATACAATACTTAAATTTTCAATGTAGATGCTACATAGTTGGTTCTCATCCTTTAGAGACTACAAGTATAGTAGGAGCATCCGTCAACAAAAGGATCACCCTAAGATGATCATCTCGTGGCTATTAAGAACGAATCAAATCAAATGATTCTATTTTTAAATCTTTTCAACCTAGGTTACGTAGGAGCAAGTCGTAAAGATTGAGAAAAATCAGTCATTCACAACCACTGATGAAGGATTCCCCGAAAGGTTCAGGATTACTAATCCTTTTGAAAAGTCCAAATCAAATGGATTCGGTCTTATACATACGCGAGGAAGAAAATACTAAAAGAAAGAAGAAACAATCTTCTTATTTCTTTTATCACTTAGGAGCCGTGCGAGATGAAAGTCTCAAGCACGATTTTGAATAAGAGAAAGAATTGAGGAATCTTCTTTTCGACTCTGACTCTCCCACTCTAGTTGTTTCTTTTCTTTCTATTACTTCAAAAGTAGCCGTTTCAACTTGAGCCACTCAAATTTTGGATATTCCTTTTTATTTCTCATCAAATGAATGACATCTTATTCTAGAAATCCTAGAAATTCTTAGCATGATATTAGGGAATCTCATTGTTATTACTCAAACAAGCATGAAGCGTATGCTTGCCTATTTGTCCATAGGTCAAATCTGATATGTAATTATTGGAATAATGGTTGGAGACTCAAATGGTAGATATGCAAGCATGATAACTTATATGTTGTTCTATATCTCCATGAATATAGGAACCTTTGCTTGCATTGTGTTATTTGGTCTACGTACCAGAACTGATAACATTCGAGATTGTGCAGGATTATACATGAAAGATCCTTTTTGGCTCTCTCTTTAGCACTATGTATCTTATCCTTAGGAGGTCTTCCTCCACTAGCAGGTTTTTTTAGGAATATTTCTTGGTTTTAATAGGAGTTCTTATAAGTGACGTTTCTATCTGCTATTATATAAAAATAATTAAGTTATTAATGATTGGACAAAACCAAGAAATAACTTCTCCCGTGCAAAATTATAGAAGGTCTCCTGTAAAATCAAACAATTCCATCGAATTTAGTATGATTATATGTGTGATAACATTTACTATACTAGGAATATCAATGAATCCCATTATTGAAATTGCTACATACCTTTTTTTTAGCTTTAACTTCTACAATTTATTTCTTAGTAATTACATTGAATCTCCAAAAAAAATCCCAATTTATGTATGAATCCATAGGTCTATGTGTGTATATAGATCCTGTTCATGGATTAACGAAAATGTGAAAAATCTCTATTTGCCTTCGCCATTCTATGAGTCTTTTTATTTTTGAATATGGCATCACCACTCTCTTTGGCAGCATCCACTAATTCAAAACTTAATTTGAAAGCCATATTTCGACCCGAACGTTTTTGGGATGCCACTAATAACCAATGAATGTCAAGTACTTTTCCTTGTGCCGATCCTATTTCAATGGGAACTTGATGAGTCAATCCGCTCACGCGTCTTGCTTTATGGTCGGAAAAATAGAAAATGTACTATTTTCAAGATATAGTAATAGAGGGAATTTCCCAAGATATCGATCTTGAGGACTGCGTATGACTACCAGTTGAATAAGTGGTTCAATTGAACAAAAAAATATGGTGTGTTTGGATTTGGGATTTAAACTCTAACAATGCTAAGAATGAGCAGAAAGTAAATTTTGACTTCTTACAGTAGCGAGTAACATGCTAGGGGTAAGTGTATAATTTGCCAACTGATAACTTTGACTCTTAGTCTTTTCAACAAGTTCATTAACATCAACTACCAAATCTTAAGATTATTTCCCTAAGTCCTTAGTGAAAAATATTTATCCTTCTGCCCTAATTTCAATGTTCATTCAAATTAGTGAAGAAGTCAAGCATTTTATTATCAAGAATTTATCTGGTTATTATAGGATTACCCTAGTCCTAGGTGAAATCTTCTACAATATAATTATTTAAGAAAACCTTAACACGACTGTCCAGTGCTAGTGTGTTAAGAAAAGTAAACCATATTGGTCCAATAGAGAAAACAATATTATAATATGAAACAATTAAATTGATGAAAAAGAACTAATACATTGATAAAACAAAGAGATCAATATCGTTATAATGACAAATCAGGGACACCCCTAGCATTGGGGGGTTTAGCGTCTCATAGAATTCAAAATAAAAACAACGATAAAAATAGAGTTAAACTTTACAAAAAGGTTGGAGTTGCAGATCTTCAATTGCTTCCGTGCCTGAAAGATTCTCCGTCTCCAAAACTCTTCAAACTCTCTCCTTTAGTGTGCACTTCTTCAATCATTCAAAAAGTCCTCATTTTCTTCTCAGAAACAGGATTAAGTATTGTTAGGTCATTCCTCAGCTATGCTGAAATATCCCAAATACCCTTTCTGATCCAATCCACTTAAATTCCAAAAATCAGACATCTTGGTGTTTTGACTGACGCGGGTCGTGTCATGCGACATGGATACTCGTGTCATCCTCTACTTCTTGCTTCTTATCATGCTTTCCATCAGGTGTTTTAACATGGACCGTGTCGTGTGACACGGGCGCCAGTGTTAGCTTTTTTCTATTGCTTCCTGGCATGCTCCAAGCAGATGATTTGACACGGGCCGTGTCGCGTGACACGGGCACCCGTGTCAACCTCTGACTCTTCACCCGAACTGTAAGTTGTGCATCATCTCCTGACACAGCCTGCGTCAGGTGACATGAGTGGCCGTTTTAGGACTCCTGTAGCTCCGGAACTCTTCTTCTCAACCTCGGGACTCCCGTTTTCTTCGTACAAGACCATTAAGCTTTTTGCCTGAATCTGACAACATAAACCACTATCAAGAAAACACATCAAATGCGACAAAAAGATATAAATGTATACTAAAAATACTGTGAGAAAGGAAAATCGAAAAATTAAAAATCTATAAATATAGTAGACAAAAGACCAAAGTGTTACCGATTTTTATGGACTCATGCCGAATAGATAGATGAAAACTAGTAGAGTTGGTGACCGATCACAACCCCAAACTTAGCTCATTGCTTGTCCTCAAGTTATGTATGAGACAACAGAGCAAGGTCACCCATGAATTCATTCTTACAACAATATAACTGATGTCTTTCGCAACTGACTCTCCACCATCCTAGTTGAGATTCCGGTCTTCCAATCCGAGTTGTCTGCTACACTTTCATGTGGAAGCACTTCTTCACCTGTCAGCTGGTCACACTTCTCACCAAGTCTCTCAGGTTTAACGTGTTTGCTCACTCATAATCCAGCATATGCAATATCAAACTCTTAAAATTGAATAAATTCTACCTTCATTACACAGACAAAATGCACACACTTTTTAAGGTCTTTGGGATGTAATGGGGCTTAGGTACGGTGGGATAAACAAACAAAATGGATATACGAAGGGTTATAGGCTCAACATTCGTGTTTTTGTTCTTTCCTCTGTGCTTCTTTTATAATAATGGGGATTTGACAACACCATTCTTTCTGAATATGTGGTTCAATTCACTTTCTGTTTTGAGCATTTCAAAGGTCTTTGAGTCTCCTTTCTTAGGCAAGTGCTTATTTCTCAAGTTTTTTTATATTTTTATTTTTTAATTTCCAAGACATGTGCGTGTCTCAACATTTTTCTTCCTTGTCATTTTTATTTGTATTATTTTTTTTCACACTTGCCCTTATCACCCAAGGTGTGCTACCCCAAACTTAGAATTTTTGCACCAATTCAAAAATCAACAACACTTATGTCGAGCAGGGTAGGATGTGTTTGGCCATTGGTTAACAAATGTGGTTATAAAAAACAATGGGATACAGGCTCAACAGGGATTAACAATGGATAAACATAATAATGGGATGGCTAGAAAAGCTCAGGGGAAAATAGAAACAACGCGCCTCAGTGTGTTTTATCCTGTAGTGCTATGTGAGTAGGACGTATGCAAATTCAGAGTGATAAAGTCATACCTGATTCAAATCTCGTGGTAATAAACTTGTGTTTGGATTTTTGTATGCCCACTAGGTTGGGCAAAGCTTACAAGTTCCAAAGTACTTCTCATGTAGTGCCTCTTCTTTCTGGTTCGGATGTACCAAATCTCAATCTTAGTCTAGTGTCATCAAGTTGTGTCCAACAATTACTTTCGACTGTATCAGCTTTCAGGGGTGCCCGAGGAGCAAGCACGGGTTGTGTCTTTCATTCATAGACTACCAACTTCATCAATCATCCTACATCAATACCCTCAATCTGTAACACACTAAAAATAAAGATGATCGATACTAAAAACCTAAAAGCTAAAAACAATAATATAGTAAAACAATAACCCCCCCCCCCCCCCAACAACACACTTGAACTAAACATTATCCCAATGTTTTTGTACAAGAGCGAAGGGGAACTCACAAAATCATCATTGCGGGAGAGGAGAAAATTGCAACATCAAATATTGCATCATCTTATGTATCTCATCCACCAACTTTCCCTGTCTAACCTGTTCAACTCCTTGACGAGTTTGCTCCTCCCGGAGGTCCCCAATCTCAGGTTGTATCCATGATAACTAGTTTTGAGTCATAAATTGTGACCCTTCACCTGATTGAGTGGGTATCTCTGGGGAAGGATCCACACACTCTTGATCTTGAGTATCCGCATCCATTTGGTCTTCCACATCATGGTCCCCATCATTATTCTCATCCGGATCATTCTGAAGATTGTTGACATATATCCAATTATTTCTTACAACAATAAAAACTCTTTCAGGATCAGTGAGTGTAAGAATAAGCCTCTTTTGACTCATGACAACATAATGATCACTTGTAACCTGAATCATACCTTGGTTGACCAGAGCAGTCATGTTCAACTTATCATTACATGCTATCGGGGCTTCATCAAGCACAACGAGATCATAACCAAAGTGGTTGGCTATCTGGGTGATGATGCCTCCAACTGTAATGCCACCAGAGGCTGCTCGACCTACTTTTCTCAAATGATCGACAATAAAAGCAGCCACATTTACCGAAATCCTATGGGCCATGGCATACAACAAATATAGCTCTTTTCGCATAGGCACCCCTGTACTATCACCTCTTCCGAACAGGGAATAAGCCAAACTCTTCTGAGCATATCTAAAGAAAGGATTCTGGATAAAAGATGCCTTAGCACCCTTAGCAACATACTGGGGTAAATCTGTAATACCCAACCAGAAAGATTTTGCCCTAAAAGTGTCCGGGATGGCCCCGGGTCCATGAATAGGTAGACGAAGGATGTCTCATAATTCCTCAACCATTAACTGATGGTCAGTGTTATACATCCTGAATGTCA